CGGGCCGTTTTTATGTCGCGTCTGCGTTCACTTTGGCAACGAATATTCATAGCAAACGTTCTGTACGCGGAGACGAAAATTCTTCCAGCACTGTTACACATAATATGTATTATATCAACGACGGTGTTTATGGATCGTTCAATTGTCTGTTGTACGATCATCAACATGTGACTCCCATTCCTCTGAAGGTAATGTTATTCAGTAAGATATCTTAATATAATATTTTTTCCTCATTTCTTTTACTAATATCTATATCTTGATCTTTATCATTAGAATGGTTGCGGAAAGTTGATTCCTTCGAGCATATGGGGACCGACGTGTGATGGATTGGATAAAGTTGTCGAAAATGTTATGTTGCATGATATGGAACTTGGCGATTGGATAATTTTTGAAAACATGGGTGCTTATACATTACCTGTTGCTTCTCCGTTCAATGGATTTCCTATTCCTAAGGTTCACATTGTCACTGATGAAGATATTTGGTAAGAAAACTTGCATGTATTATTTGATATCAGTGCTAATATTAATCTTTTTCTTTTTTAATGAAGAATTTAATAATTTTATCTTAATATTTAGGCTCTTACTGAAAGATGTTCTACCTTTAACTGAAGATCATTTTGTTATTGGCAACACACCAGCTAATTTACGACTTGGTCTAGATATTGGAGGAAACGATATCAATCCATGGAGAGACGCCAATCCAACAATGGCATTGACAACGCCTGAAATATTAACGGATACTGCTAATAATCCATCACATTTCATCTACGATTTTATCGAGCCGCCGCTAAATTAACTTTATTATTTCAAAAATATTTTGGAATATATATATATATATCAGTTTTTGCTATATCAAATAATTTAATTTCTTGTTTTCTCTCTTTAATTTCAACAAATGGTCAGTGCGCATACGCAGAAATTGTTTTTAAACAACGTAATTTTATATTATTTTGTTTACTTTTGAAATTTTCTCTCTAAAATATATTTATATATAATTTCATAAATGAATATGTATTTAACTTTGAAACAGCTTTGACGAACAGTTTACAAAGCTTTTTTTTCTTGGTCAATGCTTTAAAATCGCTTTCTTTGTTCTTATTAAAAATACATTTATTTTTTACTAGTAACAAGAGAAACTGCAAATTAAGTAAAGCATTAAAAGTGGTCCCTCTGACATTACTAATGAAGAATAATATTCGTGATTATCAATGTTTCTCTTGTTGCATGATACATAAAATATCAGAATAGATAATTTAATTATGCCTCTTTATATATAATACAGCATATTATAATTTCTATATATATTTCTAGATATAAGAATTGATATTTCAGAGAGAAAAACTGCTTGTCAAAAATTAACTTTAAAGTTTTTTTTGTAAGCGATTAGCGCATTTAACATAGAACAAGCTATGAATTTTGGCATGAATTATATATATATAGAGCTCTCTTGATAGTGAAATGATATATCACTTTTTCCATACCGAAAAAAAATGAGGTGGTCGATATGTAGTAATGATATAAACGTACTATAATTGTTTGGTGTTTTGAATATTTAAGATATGAAAGAAGAATAATTTTATAAAAGGCTTGTGGGAATCACTCGGGGCAAGTTAACAAATATTTTTCAAATTATATATTTTTTAATCTTTATTTTAAGGCATTATAAAAAAAAAGAAAAAAGAATAGAGAATCCATGAAAAATAGACATGTACAACATATATATATATGTACTATACAAGATGCATAAATGCATTCTCTAAAATTCACTTGCAAACTCTGTAGGATTGCTAGGAACTAAACGGCATTGAGGCAGCTGTCACAAGAACCGAAAGCAATTAATTTTTTATTATTCTGATTATATATCTATTATTATTATTATTATTATTATTATCACATTTAAAGAAGTGCAATTTAACAGTCAATTGACTACTTGCAATTCACATTTAAAACTTAGAAAAAGAGATATTCGTCTT